ACTCGTAAGTTGCTGTGTGAATCACTTGTTCTGTCACAATTTAATCACTGCAGTGCTGTGTACGGACCGTGCCTGGATGCGTCCGATCGTTACCGTGTCCAGAAGGTTCAAAACTCTTGTCTAAGGCTAATTTATGGGGTAAGGAGGAGAGATCATATCTCCCCGTACCTTGCTGCGTCAGGGTGGCTTAATATGCACCTTCGATGCAAATTACGAATGAGTTCCCTTTATTTCAACATTCTTAAAACAAAATTACCTTTTTATCTTTACAGAAAAATTACTCTTAACATATCAATACACAATTTGAATCTGCGTGGAAGACACCGACTAGTTATACCCCGTCACCGCAAAGAATTATTTAAAAGATCATATTCCTATAATATAGCCATTTGCATTAACTCTATTACTAATTTTGATATTAATCAGTCCAACTCGACGTTTAGGAATAATTTCAAAAAGCAGTTGTTACGTAGGCACTAATATTAAGCTCTTCTACAAAACATGTGCCCCTTTCCTTTCCTTTCCGTCCCCCTCCATTTCTTCTCTTTTCTTTTCTTTAGAATTATGTGTATCTACGCTTGGCGCTTTCAAATAAATTCTATGAAATTTTTTATTATTATATTTTCGCTGTTAAATTGAGGCCTGAACAGTATGTAGAACTTCTAGATGGCTGCCCTAACAAGGCCTATTGTTGACCATTTTTTCACTTATTTAACTTTGGTTATGTAATTATTTCTATGTAACTTTGATCGTTATAACAATAAATGTATGATTATTATTATTATTATTAACTGCTTTTTGGTATAATCTTCGTGAAAATATATGTCATCATTATACATGTAGTTTTGGATTGTTGCTTTTGTGTCACATAAGGAAGGGGTTTTAGTCAACTGTCTACTGTGATAACTTGCATTGTCCATTATAATTACGTTATTAGGAGGAATGTTTGGAACTAGTTTGTTTTTAAACCAACTTTCAAATAAATCAGCGGTGGTGTTTTCATGGTAATCCAGAGAAGAATCTTTAATATTTTTCACAGAGAGAGAAAGTTCATTTGGAGCCAACCATCTTTAGAGCCAGCATGCAAAATAGTTATTCTTTTACCTCTTTTTGATGGCGCGTTTGTTTTACACTTATCAGTTGAGTCAACCCAACCATTTTCCGGGGCATCATAAGTGTCGAACCAGGTTTCATCCAAGTAAATAATTGACCTTTGTTGTTCTCTGTAAATACTAATTTTTTCTAGATATAACAGTCGCCATTTCCGAATTCTAAAAGATTCCACTAAAACTTGCTTTTTGTCATTTTTTTTAATCTAAAACCCATGTGTTGAACACACTTCCATAAGGTAGTTCTGCTACATTTAACACCGGTTTCATCTTTTTCAAGCCTCCTCAATAATATTTTTAATGTAGGCACGCTTTGTTCCTCGCATAACTGGTAAATTTTACGCCGTATTATATCTTGATCACTGTCATCTACACTCCAGAAAATGTCAGCATCCCTTCTTTTTTTCCTCGCTGAAGTGGGATTATGCACAATTTTCCATACAGTTGATGTTGGAATTTTCGTCAATGTGGCCGTTTCTTCTAAAAATGCTTGCTTGCTGGCACCACGTTCAATGAGAGTCAAATAAACATGGTTTATAACTTCCTTAGTCTCAATAGAATAGTGAGGCGGGAGCACCTCCTGAGATACAATAAACTCGCACATATTTTGCATAATTAGCACTCGATTCAACACACGCTGTACTACACACGAAATAAAAATGATTACTAATACACTTAAAGTAAGTAGTATACCAAACCAAATAATATTAAACACAGGTAGGTATAAAATTATTTTTTATTACGGACCACAATTTTACCTGAATTTAAATTCCGAAAGTTTAGGTAATAATCTTGTTGCAATGTATGTTAATGACCACCCTTGGATAATCCCATTCAAAAGCAATTGGTCACTTTCTTATATCTATGAACAGACCATATGTGTTTGCCGCTTACTGATTCAATATTCAATATTTTAGTTACTTATCGATTATTAGGCCGTAATTTCGGCTTTAGCTGCTACAGTCTATTTCAGAACAGTGCAGAGTAACAATAAAACTTCACTTTATGCAAAGAAACAGCAACGACGTATCATTAAGCCGCTTTCATTGTTTGCCACGGATTTCATTGCAATTTCTATTTTCTCTTCCCGTTTTGGTCAATTTATGGATTTTGCCTTTGAATAACGTGAGAAGGAAAGATTTTATTACGCATTATGTGCGGAGGTGCTAATTAAAAAGGGTCCTCGTCCATATGGTTCTATTTGTAGGAATACATTAAGGATTGTTCTCTTTAACATTACTAAATCTCTAGTTGTTTTTAATTTATTAGAACATTGGTATTATCGGCATAGTTAGTTATTTTACAATTTTAACCAATTCCATACAATTTTTAAGTGTTGTATGTTTATTGTTTTACGTAATATGGGCCATATTACACTGCCCTGCGGTACTCTTACTTTCCCCCGATTTTCACCATTTGAAAGGTACGATTCCTCTCATCCATACATATGTAGTTTATTCAAAAGTTTACTATCGCTTACAGTATCAGACGCTTTTGACAAATCAAGGAACAATATATGTTGTGCAAAAATACTGTTTGAGTTGTTCTGCCTGGTGGGTATCCATGCTGTATATTGTTTAGTAAATTATTGTCGAGCATAAATTTTAAAATTCGATGACACATCACTTTTTCGGAAATTTTAGAGAACCACGGAAACAGATTTATTGGGCGATAATTTTGCATCTCGTTCTAATAACCATTTTTAAAGATCGGGACAACCAGGGCATTGCTTATTATAAATACCAACGGTTTTAAGAATCACAGGCAACACAAACTTTACGAGACCAGTAGAAATATCAATGTTACGCAGAACTAATCTTATTTCTTTTTCATCCACCGGTTGTAGAACTATCGCGGTTGGATTGAATGCGTGGTTCGAACTAAAAGGTGTATTTGGTAATTCTTTTAACAAGTGTGGTACAACATTAATTAAGAATTAATTTAAATTAATAACTAAAATCTCTTTAATTACCTTCAATTTCTTCTCGTTATTACCATGTTCCCTTTAATTTCATTTACTATCGACCAGGCACGTTTGTTTTTGTTATCTGAGTTTTTTTAATGTATTACATATAATGTATTATGTATGCTTAATTCGGTTTTTTTATATCTTTTTAGAAGGCTATCATAATCCTTTTTTGTTTTGTGTGTATAGCTCCTTATATCTACTTTTTATAAATCTATAAATATATCTAGTTCCTACATTTTGCATCACTTCAAGAACATCCAATTGTATTTAACACTCATTGGTTTGAGGATGTTTTATGTCTAAGAAATAATTCATATAAGACGACTACTGATTTTTAACCAGGTGGTTATGCAGTGTATTGCCTATTTCTTTCTTGCAATGCTGTTTTAAATTCTATTTTATTGGCTGTATTAAAACTACTTTTTTTATACTTAGTCAGGCCTCTGGATTTCAGTTTGTGTGTGTAACTCTTTATGTTATGTTGCCGTCGAAATTTGTTAATATATCATCATGGCAGGCACCAGTTTTACTTGTTATGTGTGTGACGAGAGATCTTTCACTTATATCGCTCCCTGCTACTATTAAAGCCTGTGTCGTTTATAAAAAGTTCAAAGTATCAATGCAGGCACTGCTTGTTATACGAGTGCGACTAGAGATATTTCACTTATAACGCTATTAAAGTTTTTAATAATGTCTCTGCTACTGATAAACCCTGTACATCTGCTAAGTCGTTTATAAGTAGGCTAAAAATATATATCAATACAGATCCAGTTTTACTTCTTATACGAATGTGGCTGGGGATCTTTCGCTTATAACGCTATTTATAATGATGTGCCTGCTACTGTTAAAGCCTGTGGATCTGCTAAGTCGTTTAAAAATAAGTTCAAAAATATATTCAAAATGCAGGCGCCAGTTTTACTTGTTATACTAGTGTCACTAGAGATTTTTCACTTATAACGCTATTAAAGTTTATAATGATGTCCTCGCTACTGTTAAAGCCTGTGCATCTGCTAAGTCGTATATAAATATGTTCAAAGATGCATATCAGTTTTACTTGTTATACGAGCGTGACTAGACATCTTTCACTTATAAAACTATTAAAGTTTATAATGATATCTCTTCCGCTGTTAAACCCTGTGCATCTGTTAAGTCGTTTATAAATAAGTTCAAAGATATATATGAATGCAGGTACCAGTTTTTCTTCTTATACGAGTGTGGCTAGGGTTCTTTCACTTATAACGCTATTTATAATGATGTCCCTGTTACTGCTAAAAGCCTGTGCATCTGCTAAGTCGATTAGAAATGATTTCAAAGATATATTAAAATGCAGGCACCTGTTTTAATTGTTATACTAGTGTCACTAGAGATCTTTCACTTATAACGCTATTTAAGTTAATAATGATGTCCCTGCTACTCTTAAAGCCTGTGCAACTTATAAGTAAGTTCAAAGATATATATATATATATATATATATATATATATATATATATATATATATATATATATATATATATATATATATATATATATATATATATATATATATATATATATATATATATATATATCAATTCAGGTACCAAATTTACTTCTTATACAAGTGGGGTTAGGGATCTTTCACTTATAATGCAATTTATAATGATATTCCTGCTACTGTTAAAGCTTGTGCATTTGCTAAGTCGTTTATAAATAAGTTCAAAGATACATTCAAAATGCAGGCACAAGTTTTACTTGTTATACAAGTGTGACAAGAGATCTTTCACTTATAACTCTATTAAAGGTTATAATGATGTCTCTGCCACTATTGAATCCTGCTAAGTTGTTTATAAATAAGTTCAAAAGCTATGTCGATATTTATTGTATAACGTATCCTTTGAGTAATAATAAAAATATTTTGAATTGAATTGAAATACTTTTTTCAGTTTCAGAGGAAGGACATGGGCCGTGCAAGCCGGTGTCGCCTCCGAAGCCAGTGGCACAAACACCTCCGCCCTACAGGATGCCCCCTTATCCCTTGTACAACGAGCCCAGTATCCCGGGAGCTGCCCAATCGCAAATAGATCAACCAGTCGCAAGTTCCAGTCCGACCGTTCAATCTCAGGGACAATTACATACCCATTCTAGCAAATTTCCAGTAAGCCACGTTCTAAATACTTACATAAGAAGTTACCAGTACTTAGAATCGTTGCTGGTTTCAGATCTGATCAGGCGGAAATTGTTAATTCCAGTAATGTTTTCGAAGACACCCTAATGTAAATTTTATTAAATCAATTTTTGGGAATTCTGCTGGACTTTTATATATATATTAAACATGCATTTTTTCTAAAGTTGCACAAATTGTACCAATCCTGAAGTCTGGGCATGCTACAGAAGTAGTAATTATAGGCCTATGTCGCTCCTATGTCATTTCGCCATACACGCGGATCAACATGGATTTCGCAAGAAAGCCCATTCCTTTTATCCATAATGTTAACCTTTTTATGCACCATGAGTTTTGAGACCTGTGCCTTGTAAACTGACTTTAGACAGGGTTCATCATCATACTCTAGTAAAGAACCTTGGAAATTTCTCTGTGCAAGGCAACTTACTCCGTTTCTTGCAAGTTTGTGGTTCTGGACGGTGAAAATTCGCTTAATTATTTTTTATTATTTGATATTCATTCCCAATCAGACATTTTGGAACTCCAGAATGATTTCGATAGGTTTACTACGTACTATAAAAATCACAGACTTAGTGAAATTTCGATAAACGCCAGATAATACAGTTTACAAGAAAAAACAACCTATTAATATTGACTCCAAATTAGATAATATAAAACTTCAGAGAGTTATTCAAGTTAAAGATTTAGGAATCGTACTGAAGTTGACATTTGAAGCATATGTGGAAAATATTGTAAAGATGGGCGTGAGAAATATTGGTTTTGTATTACGTAACACCAATGACTTTAGCAACCGCAAATCAGTACGTCGGTCGGGTAGAGAGTGTCCAAAAAAAGCCTTTTAGAAACATTGATTTTAGATGTAATAGAGACAGACACTAACATTCCTATGAAAGAAACCTACAGTTTTATAAATGATATTGAAAAAAATTGGGCTTTGGGTATCCCCTTTGTTTGCCGTTCTCACAAAGGTATAATTTTGGGTGTTCAGTTTTTCGATAACTCTTATTATATTGGAGTGAATGTTTCTTTTTGTTAGTAGAGTTATGACATCATTTCAGCGTACCCTAACGCATGCTTGGGTGAAATCAATGAAGCACACAAAGGCTGCCTTATTAAACTCTATGGCTTTTTGAGTTTGGCGAATTAATAATAATAATAATAATAATAATAATAATAAACTGTCTTTATTGAAATTCAAAATATATAAGAGTGGCGACATTCGCAATTTGCGCCCTTCCATGTAACCACAAGAACAACAGCACCAACACCATAATTGTCAACAAAATACACACCCGTATATGCATCGTAAACACAAGAAATAGATGCACATCATAAACTCATACACTTTTGCTAATTATGGGCGGGTCTAATAAAGAATATTAACGCATTTTTGAAGGGCTTTATTGTGGAGAGGGATATCATAGCATAAGGAATTTAATTAAATAATTTAACTGCGCTATAGCTAAAAGATCTCTGGAAAGTTAACGAAGTGTGTCCAGCAACGCAATATCTTAAACAATGACTGGTGTATCGATTATGAATATCATTTCCACTGCAAAGTTTATCAAACAAGTACGACGGGGTATTATTGGAGTTTAGTAAAAAAACAAAAGTGACTAAATGGACTTTATATCGATCCTCCAGTTTGAGCCAATCCAAATCAGAGAGGCACTGTGAAATATGGTCATACTTTCTGAGATTGTAACTAAAACGAATACAAGCATTCTGAAGTCGTCGGAGTCTCTCTTTATCTCGATTACTCGTATAGCTGGCCAATAGACAAAAAGCGACATAGGATAAAACTAACATATCACAGAGTTTAAGTTTGACTTCTTTAATGAGAAAAGTTTATGAATATACAATGTTCTCAACTTATAGAAGGAGTCTTGTAACACCAAGCCAACATGCTTAGAAAACCGCAAGTCACCGTCAAACCATAATCCCAAATTTTTACACCCGTCTGAAGAAGGAGAGACAATCTCATCATTTAGTGTAATCTTAAAAGAGGCGTTTTTTACAATATCTTTTATTTCCAAATAATAAAATCTGCGTTTTTTTAGTATTCAATAAGAGGTTGTGAGCCGCAGATACCTCAGCAAATCTAAATTTATTTTAGTAGCGGCATTTAAAGCTTCACTAGCAACAAAAGATAAGTCTAAACTGAGAACAGAATAGGTCCCAAAATACTACTCTGGGGAACACCCTTCTCCAAAACAATGGCATCTGAATGAGTATTTCCCATAACTACCATTTGGTATCTCTGACTAAGAAAATTTTAAAAAAATGAAAGATCGGCCCCCCCATTTTCAGTGAGTTCCGTCACAGGGCAAAGCTGCATATATTTGCCAAATATGAAACCGATTGCTTCAAATTTCGGACACTTGTTTCATAGCAATGTCCAAAAACAAATCGAAAATCGCGAAAAAAAGATGGATGCCGGCATCGGTTGAAGGCCATTTCTCATAAGGTTATGTGTCTCGTGGAAGGTTAAAAAGGACGTAAATTTTAATTTTGTACCTCCAACGCTTCGAAAGTTATTCAGTAAAAACCAAAATCGAGAACGGAGAACGGACAAACAGGGAAAAAAAATTTTTTTCGACGCTGATCACTTCTATACCAATGGTGATTCGATTCGATTTTTCGAATGTAACTAGAAATTCACGTTGAACGATAGTGTAGAAAGGGGGACAATAGTCGAACTGGGCCACATCAATCATTAGGACTTTCACAGCATTTAATCGTTCGTTAAAACACATTGTAAACTGTAAAATGGACCAGCGGTCGCCCATTCATTGTTTACTGCCATTGTTCTTCGACATTAGTCGCATTTAAACAAATGACGAAATAGTAACGTTTCTTATTTAATTATTGAAGTAATTAAACTAATGAGAACGTTCTCACGCTCAGGTTTACGGCGCGTTTTTCCTTTTTCAGATTGAACGGGAAGTTATACTGTCCAATGCAGATAAAAATTCGAAAATTCCTATAATTCCGGACTGCAAGAAGCGATCTAAGGGCGCTATTGCTCCGGACATTCCTCCGAAACAAATGGCCGCCTGGACGAGTCAGACTCAGATGTCATCCCAGCAAATTCTGCCGGACCAGGTTAGTTTTGGTTGGTTTAGATGATTAGTCGAATTCCGTTGACCATTTCGACATCAATTTCAGTCAAAGCGATTGTGCAGTTAGGTCATAGCATGACATCTTAATCTAGTTCACTACTGGATGTCGCACAAATTTTTTTGTAATGCCAATAAATTTTATTTAATATTTATAAAAACACATAAATAAAAAGAAAAATTATTACGAACATCAAACTTTAATACAATATAATTATTACACAAAAAAACTCTGTATTTACAAAGAGTTTTTAATTAAATCATGGAAACGGTTTAATATAGAAATACGTATATTTAAGTAAATAAAAAAATAATAATACAAGACGTCTAAGAAAATTAACAAAAATAAAAATAAACAAAAAAAAAAGTTATTTATTATATATTATATATTTTTAGAGAAAGTAGACTTTTTCAGTAATAACCAGTTTGGGTTGTGTAGGGGAGTATCAACACATAATGCAATTGTTGCTCTATACAATAAAATAATAAGTAATTTAGATAATAATAAACCAACAACTTGTCTTCTTTTCGATCAAAAAAGAGCTTTTGACGTAATAAACATTGATTTGTTGCTTCTTAAGATAAATCATTATGGTATTCGTGGCAACGCTCTAGAATGGTTAGAGAGTTTCCTAAGGGATCGTGTGCAAAAAGTTGTCTTCGAACAAAACGATGAGAATTTTTTTTCTAGTGATGAGATGACCTCCAGTGGCGTTCCGCAGGAAATATATTAAGGCCTCTATTATTTATTGTCTTTATTAATGACATAGTTTCCTGTGGATCAGATAAAAATTATCTATCACGATTTGCTGATGATACAGCTATGGTTTCCTGCGTTGCCGACATGGAGGATCTCTCTAAAAACTCTAGTGAGACGGTGGCAGATATTGTTGATTATTGTAACAGAAATAGTCTTATATTAAATCTTGATAAAACTGAATTGATTCATTTCTCACTAAGAGGCATAGATAAGAGCATCTTAGTTAAGTGTAATAATAAAACGATCTAGGAGAGTTGCGAAATTTCTGTGGGTTTATTTGGATTCTGGTCTTTCTTGGTCTCATCAGGTGGACTATATTCTCAGAAAATTATCCACACACTGTTTTGTCATTTGTTGTTGTGTTGTTCCAAAAAAGGATTATTCGTACAATGCACTTTAAACCTAAACATTATTCCTGAAGAAATATATTCATTGAAACGCAAATTTTGACAGTTCCCAGTGTATACATATTCATTGAGTATATATGTACGCGTGCAACCAATGAACATTATAGTTTCAGACAGAATTATAACCTATATATTCCAAAACATTCGGAAGCAAATAGCTCAATCGTCCTTCCCATAAAACTTTTTAATAAATTACCACCTGGGATGAGACGGATTTCGGGCTACGGTCAGTTTAAGGCTGTGGTGACACGATTGCTTGTCCAGAAGGCATTCTATTCTGTACAAGAGTACCTGCAGTGCACTTTTCAATTCGTGTTTTAACCATTTGTCCATTTGTCCATTTAAGCTTGTGCTTTTTTTTATAACTCTGTGTTATTTTAAAAATGATTGATGATGATGATGATCTTTATTGGTTATGTATTTTGACATTGTCCTACATTTACAATGTAAGTCGTTTGGAAATAATAATAATAATAATTATTATTATTATTATTACAATAAATTCAAACAAAATATTGTTATATAATTTTTTAAATATGTTTAAGTTTGTTTGCTTGAAAGAAACGAAATAAAACAATAATAGGATTTTTATACATCTAAAGTATCATTCAGATAAACACTTTGCTCAATTTTTGCATTAGTCATAGCTCTAAAAAAATTAAACCATTGCTTTGCAATAAGAGCGTTCATTCAAGGTTTTGATTTATAGTTAGTCTTAGTGTTAAAGCAGCATGACATCTTTACATGACTTAAGTTACACTATCGCTCTATAAAAAAAAGAAAACAAATTTATATATTAATAGGTCAAAACTTATAACGAAAAACAGTTTTTCTCCGTTTTTTTGCCCACCCGGTAAGTTCTTTAAAAATTATTTTTATGAAATGGAGCAGATGGGAGCAAGATTGTACCTTACACGTAACAACACAAGATGTTACTTTAATACACAGTATCAACAGCATCCCTAAATTAGGCTAAAATTGTTACATATGGCTTAACCCATATAATCCCAATCATAAAAAAAATAAAAAAAAATTTTTTTGCTCTGAAATTATTTATTTTGTTGCACTTGAGAATACATTACATGTGTCAAAAAAAAAACTCGAAACATACAAAAAAATACTGGTGCGTAAACGAACCACTGGGAAAAAACATTAAATAATGTTTTGGGGAACATAAGATGTAACATATAATTTATACATAAATATACAAAAGAAAGTTCAAATTCGACAGAAAACAACTAAAAGCAGATTGTTGTCCAAATAGAACCTGATTTTATGGTGCGTGAGGGCACCACTGGTAACACCCAGTTTCATTTTTGGTGATATTTTACAAAGAATGAAGTATGTAAATGCAGATTACACTTATTACAAACGTAAATTGTGCGGCTGTGACAGATTCTACATCTCCTTCGGGCTTTATTAGCATGAACAATCATGAGGTGACCTTGATTATCATAACGCACTTCATCTATGGCAGGTGCAAGATTTCTTTCAGTAACGGTTTTATCAGTTTTTAAAAGTTGCACAGCAATGTAAGATTTAAAATGGACCTGGGAAATCTTTTGTTCGCTGACAATATTATATAATTTCCATTCATTCACTACTAAACTATCCAGTGAGTTATAAAATAAAGGCCAGCACCATTTCTTTCTAAATATCTGGCACCTGTAATTAGCAATTTCGTTGTCATATATCCATATATCTATTGTATTGGGCAATTACATAAGGTTGGGGTATATTTACATCTTTCCGTTTTTTTCTATTACAGCGTTTTACATTATGGACAGGATCTACACTAGAAGCATTACTTAAAAAAAAATTCAAGTGGAGTTTTTAAAGAATGCCAATTTTTTAGTTCTTCGCATGACCTAAATTCATCGGATGTGAGTGTACTCAATCTGACCTTTCTTCAATTTTTTGAATTCCAGGGTTTTATCATCTGATGAGTGCCATTTAGGTGCAGTAGTTGATGAATTAGAGGACTGTTGAAGGACAACTGTATCATTCGGTGTATGTAACTCGAAAGTTCCAACTATATCAGTTGGTTCCTCAAAGTCTTGTAGGATTTATGTTATCGTTCACATCTTCTTCGTCAGTCAAGGTATCCACGTCGGGTGGAATATAGACCGCGTCAATATGTTCTGTAAATGTCTCTTCACTTTAGCATAAATGTACAAGGAATGGAACGCTACAATACATAAGAATACGTAAATCCAAATAATACTCTCGACTTTCAATGTTATTGTCCTCAACCATGATTGAGTCGATTGAGTGGTACGTCGGAAATTTTACGAACTGTAAGGTTCACTGCACAAGGCACAAACTAATACTAAAGAACACGCTACTTGTTGGATGTTTATTCTACATGCGCTGACTTGTCTAGACTTGCAATAACAAAGTTTAATTTCACAGATAAAACCAGTGGTGCATTCACGCACCAGTCAATATTATCAAAAAATAAAGCATAATTAATTTCCAATGTATGTTTTCTGCGATGTAATCTACATACAAACATGTAATATGTAAATATGTAATAATACAAACCCAATTTTTTTTTATTATTTTGAATTTACTTGAAAATGTGATACAAATTTATGTACCGCTTTTGTTAACTTTTACACATACATTAGCGATTTCTACGGTTTTATATCCTTTAGTAGTGATAATAATAAAATTTCTAAATGGATGTGCAAAAATATTTCCCGGATGTGACAAAAAAACATAAAATAGTTGGTGCATTAACGCACCATTGCGACAAAATGGATTAATAAATTACAAACATACTTTTGTGGGCTATTTTTTTAATATGACTCAAAAGAATGTAGAATTTTTTAAGGATAATTGGCTTTACTTGCCATAAAATTAGTATCAAAACTTACCTTTACGGACTGCCTGCATTTTGATTTTTTTATTTAAATCTAATTTGTTTAAAAATATCCCCTTCACATTGTTTTATGTTCGTTTATGTTTATGTCTCAATCTTCATCGTGTCATTGGGTAAAGCCGTTAACAAAAAATGTATTATTACTTCAGTGACAAGGCAGTGTGAGCAGGCATATTTCTTTCTTCCTGATATATTTCTTGAGTGTTGACCATTTGTGGCAGTATTGAATAATCGTTTTTACTGTGCGTTTCGAAAAAGTCATTTTACGAGAAAATAAATAAGAACTAAAAGTTCCGATTTTCACGAAACTTTTTCATGAAAATCTGAACTTATAGTTCTTATATAGTTTACTATATACTTCCTAACCTCAAATTCGTCCAGCCACAGACCCGTTGTTAACAACCTCGCGTCATATATAGCATTTTGTTGGTTAGCTTCGGTCTTCCTAGTAGTATATTCATATACCGTCGAAGAGATCGAAGACCCGATGCAATTGAAATGCTAGGCCAGACGCAAGGTGTCGTCCGCCAGCAGTTACTGGAAAATGCCGTCTCATCAAATACGCATAGCCACATCCTCGAGCGTACGAATAACGTTATAAATTAATTTCGGCAAAACGGCCGTTCGAGTTATTTTGCCGCCTGCCAAAAAGGAGATTCGAAAAACTTCGCTAAAATGTCTAATTTTTTGGGTCACTATACCGTTTTTTATTTCCATGGGATGTGCCGTTCAATTTCTTTTTGAAATGTCAAGACTTTGTACCGTGCGTTCAATTTTTCTTGACAACATTTTAATTAATAAAAACAAATTAACAATTAACACATTTAAAAACAAAATGTAGGGTTAGTAGCCAAGTTTTTTCCAAATAAAGTATAAAACAATTTTTTTATACATTTATAAATATCAATTTCCTGACATATAAGCCTACAACATAT